AGTATATACAAAGCAACTACAATCCTTATTATAGTATACTGGTTAGCTCAGTATGGATAAAAATTAACACGAAAGTATTTAACGATTAACTTGGAAATTAAAAAAAACTCCCTTAAGTTTCTGTCTTTTTCCTTCTTATATGTTATTAATCAATTAATACTCGATTGTTACAAGCAAATATATTGATGGACGATTAAAAAAATACTTACTTCAACCAATTCTTTTGGAGAAAACGTTTACTATTATTATTGTTACCATTATTTGGCACAATATCTGTTTTGTCACTGAATGGCGATAATTCTTGTGAATTTGAATTTTCTGGCAATTCTCTTTCAACATTTAACAGTTGATGATATTGATCATAATGCATTTCACTTGGTGATTTCAATCTGAATTCTGTTCCATGCTAAAAAAGAATGGCAAACATATTCAATATTATCATAGTTTAAACCATGAACAAATTTTAGTTGGACAAACATTGAATGGTCATTTTGTATAGGACTTTTCAGTAGTATGCACCCACAACCGTGAACGCGAGAATAAAACCCAAAACCTTCACTTTCGTATGAGAACTCCCAACTTCTAGACCACTGACATTTTATATCAATCATTCCGTGGGATTACGGGACCCATTTCTACACATCTGACACAGTTTAACTCTGTTATTCACGGCTTCCCTCCGGAACTCCATGAGTTGTTTCCTGAATCTATCCACTGATGAAGTTGAAATACTACATAAAAATATTATGGTGTAGTAAACATGTATATACATATATATCAGTATGAGGGTTGTGGAGTATGTTGAATTCTATTTTGATCGTGAACCGTCCTTTCAGTGGTTATCTGACTTAGTTCATTTCGTGACCTCAGTAATATATATATATATATATATATATATATATATATATATATATATATATATATATATATATATATATATATATATATTACAGGTCATAATGAAATCATTCTGCCCTCTTTCATCTTCTTTATAAGATTTTACTAGTAATAATTAGTGTAATTGTATTGTGCCAATAGGGATAATTATGGATTTAATATAAATAATAAATGTATGTTGACCAGTTACAGTATAAAATACAATAACAAAGTCAAATTATAAATTCTATAGACAATTATATACAGAAAGAAAACGTTTTATTTGGTATGATCTAACTAAATAGTTGAATAGATTGATAGGTATCTACTTAACTTTAAGTCATTAAACAGTTTAGACCAACTTCTGAAATATGAATAATGAATTGTAGCTTAAATTTAAAATTTCATGGTTAAAGTTGAATGATATAACCATTAAATTGATGTGCAAATTTTTCTCCATAAAAATATATTCTTGTATATGGTTAATTGAAGAAGAAATTACCATGACTGAACCAGCTAAGTATAAGTATAATTATAAGTATCAGTATACTTTATTTATATAACACTGGAATGAGTTATTTCCGATTGTATAATATAACACTGTATATTACAAATAAATTAAATTGATTGATTGAAGAAAGCCAACTCAATATTATGTAATGTAGGATATAATAACAATTAATTCTTAATAGTGAATTTTTTCACAGATTAACATCGAGAGGACAACCAGAGACCTCTAGACAATAGTTTTTTATTAGCACAGTTGAATTTACGAGTCAATCTAGGCTAATCCATCATTCAAAACCTGGGAGCACTGGACGAAAGTTCAGTTTTAGTATGATATTCCTGAGAAGTGTACATCCATGATTCCGGACCAGAGGGACTCTAACCCATCACATTTGATCTCAAGTGCAAACGCTTAACCTCTAAACCACTGGTTCGGTATCCAGCAGTGTTATTGTTTTACTTGAGTCAATTCATGATCTCGTGTGATCCTTCATTCGTTGTCGGAGGTGGATGACTGACTCCATTTTACTTGTGAATTCAGATGTTGACATACCACAACCTTCACATTAACACTGCTGGATACCGAACCAGTGGTCTAGAGGTTAAGCGTTCATACTTGAGATCAAATGTCCTCGGTTCATGTCCACTTGGTGCGGGATCGTGGATGAGCACTTCTGAAAAGTCTCACACTACAACATAATGGTCATCAATGACCTTCAGGTTTTCAATGGTTATCTGGCTTAGATGAACTCGTGAATTCAACTATGAAAATACTACAATCTCGACAAATCCCTATACTATTTTATATTAGCTTAAGATTTAGTAACAATTCACAATTGTAGCCTTGCACACCAAATCAAACGTATTAAGCAATTTAAATGGATTACATGTCTCTAAGTTCAGTATAATCAACAAAAAGAAATCAAAATTCAGAACTAACGAATTGTAATCTGCAAAATAAAAATTGCAGTAATTACCAGAAAATCAGAACTAGCCAGTAAAAAATCATTTATAACTTTTTAATATTTATTAACGGTTACTAATTTCTTTGGTCACTACTGTTGTTATAGTGAAAATTGTTCTGAGAAATGCTTCAATATGTATACTACTTTACATTATGTAACATTGTTTTAATAAAGTTTAAAATCAATTTTGTACTGTTAAAATCTCATTGATGAATTCCGTTTGAATTTATGTTCATTTTCCTATACACACTAAGAATTCATCTTTAAATTTATCGTTTCGTTAGTTAATTGAAGTTTGAAATACAGATACATAAATTATGATTCAGTTGTCTAAAACCGAAAAAACACATAGCTCTAAAGGTCCTTCATCGATAGAGCAACATTTTTTAGTTGATTTCTTAATTTCAGTAGTTGAAATCATGAGTCAGTTGAAGCTAGACCACCATGGAAAACCTCGAAGCACTGGACGGTTAGTCTGTCCTAGTAAGGGACTCCTCAGCAATGCGAATCCACGATGCCCCCCTCCCGTTGGATGCTGACTCAGTGGTCTAATCGTTAAGTGTTCACGCCCGAGACTGACAGGTCCTGGGTTCGAATAATGAGAGGCGGGATTATGGATGCACATTACTGAGGAGTCACATACTAGGACGAAACTGCAGACCAGTGCTTCCAGGTTTTCCATGGTGGTCTAGCTTCAACAGACTCATGATTTCAACTATTTAAATTACTAAAATCCCCACAAAACCCCTTCTGATTTCTTAATTAACAATAAATCATAAAAAAGAAGTAAATAATAATAATAATCACCCTTTAAAAACAAGCGATGTACTAATATCTCTATAGAATTAATTAACTTTGTAATTATTTTGTAAATTAATAATTAAATGATTACTTACCATGTTTTAATTATTCATTCATAAAGTTCATTAACGACAATAAAATTCAATTTTCATTATTTAATATTCAATTTTAAATGTTTATTGACTTGTTTATTTATTTATTTGTCTATCCAATTGGAAGAAAATAAAAATGGATCTATTTTTTTCTCTTTTTTTTTCTTCTTACATAACAACTTATAGTTGTGTTGATTTTTCTTCACCATTAGTGTATTTCACTTTTTAACTAAATATGTAACCCATTGAAGAATTCTATTCATTGGTTCAATACAAATTATGATATTCATCCAATCATTCCATCATATGCATATATATATATATAGTTTCTTAGCCACTGTTTAATAGCAAGTTTTTAAAAAGAAAATAGTATGTTTATTCCAATAGTACAAACCAGACAAAGCATCTATTATCTAGATGTATATATCTAACTCCATTAGTAACTATCTATATACTAAACAGTTTAATGATGAATATGAATAGTATACATATATTATGTATATCTAACTGATATGTAAATGACATGCTACAACATTTTATTACATAAAAATTCTTTATGTGTAATGATATATGTAAATTTCTTTTAAAGTATTTCTCTTCTTCTGAAAATAAAGAGAAAAAAAGAAAGGTTATTTCTGTTTACTTATAACTATACATGAATGATTCTCTTAGATACATAATGATAATCTAAAAATTTTACCAAAAAAAAAGAAAAGAAAAGAAAAAAAATGACTCAGATTATCCTATTCACTTTAGTTATAGACAATAAGAAGAATGAACTAGACTATGTAAGTAGATATTCATTAATATTTAAGTATGTATGTATATATAAATGTTTGTGTAATCAGAACCATTCAATAAGGGTAAAGCATATCTAAATTAAAAATTCTTTTCTTTCTCTTTTTTTTTAAAAAAAAAGAAAAACACGTCAAACTAATAGTAAATTATTTCAGTTCATTGAAGACAATAATGAAATTAAAATGAAAAAATTGAAATGAATAAATATGACAGGGAATTTTTTCTTTATTTAAATAGATGATAATGATATTGTGGGACACCTTGACAGTGTGCATTCATGGTCCCATCCCGCGAGATTCGAACCCAGGACCTATCGATCTAGCGTGCGAGCGCTTAAACTTTAGACCACTGAGCCAGCATCCAACGGTGTTAATGTCTAACTTCAACCAATCCACAAAATTGAACCACTGTCCAACACTGTCTTAGGCCTGAACCCTGTGGGGCGGGATCTTGGATTCGCACTGCTGAGGAATTCCACAGTAGGACGAAACGGCCGTTCAGTGCTTCGAGGTTTTCCATTGTGGTTTAGCTTCAATCGCTTCATGAACTCAACTATTAAAAATTACTATAATATCCACAAAAACTCTTTTGATAATGATGTTGTTTATAATTCTGTAATAAATAGATGTTAATAAAAATAAGTATACCTTTCTATATTATAACAAGGTAACTTAAATATAATTATTCTACATAATTGTGCAGTTTGAAGTTGTTTTTTTCTGAATTACTTATGTAACTAGATATTTAAGATGAGAATTATATGCTTATACTTCATTCACAATTGATTGATCACTAGTTGGTGATCAGTGTCATATATGTCAGGTCCTTCTTGGTGTAGATCGAATTCTATCGATCATCTTGCAATGTGGCCGCTAGTCTAGGTGACTCAACATTGCGTGCACTATGTTAAGATAGAATGGTGGTTGGAGGTAGTCAGCAGGAAACTCTGGACCCGGGTTTTATGCTATTTGGCACTCGTCGGCAAGGTATGTTTATAATCTTGAGGGAACTGGTGCTCCCTGACATAGTGCACGTAACGTGCAGTCACCTAGATTAGTGGCCACATTGCAAATTGGTCGATAGCATTCGATCTCCACTAAGAAGAACTTAACACACATGACACTGATCACCACTCAGTGATTAATCAATTGTGAATACATCTCAATCCTACAGGAGATCGGTCGCGGCTCGGATAACCCAGTGGTAACGTCCCTGACTGTGAAGCTGGGTGACACGGAATCGAATCTGTCAGGGAGCACCAGTTCCCTCAAGATTACAGGTACACCTTGTTGACGAATGCCAAAGAGCACGAAACCAGGGTCCATGGTTTCCTGTTGACTACCTCCAACCACCATTCTAGCTCATGCCTCATTGTCTAGTAGGTGTAGTTATGTTTTGAAGTAGGTATATATTCTTTTTATTATTATTCAGTCAATAATTGGACAAACGTTTGTTAGTAATTGAAGTGAAATTAAAGTACTAAAGTAATCTTGAAAGTATGGAGTATTTTTTTAGTGATAATCTCGTTAATTGCGATGTGAATGATCGGTTAGGAGAATAACAACGCAACGATAATATGCAGCTGTATTATCAAATAAAATGGAGCTTACACTGAATAGATTTGTTACTGAATAGTAAAGTTGTCAGTTCAAATACTACATAGATCTATATGATGTATCCAATAAACAAACAAACTGAAACATTGGAAAAATTCATGAAATTCATGGAATATTACAGGTTATTCATAAGTATAAAATGATAAAGAAAATAAAGCTTTATTAACAAGATTGAGCTTCTCAGCAAACTCTAAAGACTGTAAAGATGATCTAACACTAGAATTATGAACTATATTTTGTGCTGATAAAAAAATCAATATTTTGTAATCTCTCGTTTGTGCCTATCATCAATCCACAGTCGAGATAATTGCCGGTGACCTTAATCTACTAAAAATTATCTGCTTTTACTATTGTCGGAAAATATTTTTGGTTGAAAAAATTGTTAAGTGATGAAGTATCTAAAATCTCCGCTCTCTAAAAATCTCGACGAATGTTGGAATTATGGATTTAACAAGTGTTTTGAAACGAATAGAATGTCTTTTGAAGGGGATAAGATTAACATACTTTATATTTTATTAAAATAAAATTTTTATGACCATAGTTCTCGGATTTACTGAACAAACTACTTATTTGTGATGTTCAGTAGTCAAATATTAGGTCTAGCTCTTTTAAGGGGATTTGTAGCTTAAATGTAATGCTCACTTTTGGAGTATCTTAACGGATATTTTAAAGTTTACAAACATTTTGTTTATTGCTTCCCAGAACCCCTTAATCATTTATTTACAACAACTGACAGCTTCAATTAAAAACATGTTACTAGATACTTGAACTTCAGTGCTTCAGCATTTTTGATTGAGATCATTAATCGACCAAGTTTAGACCACTGTTCAAAACCTGGAAGCCAAGGACGGCCGTTCCGTCCTAGTATTGGGCTCCTTAGCAGTGCGCATACACGACCCTCCACACGGGGTCCGGATTCAGAACCTTTGGTCTCGCGTGAGAATGTTTAACCTCTAGACCACTGAGCCGACATCCAGCAGCGTTAATGTCTAACTTCAACCAATCCAATACAGTAATTGTTTGTCAAAATCTGTCTGGGGTAGGTTTTGTTAAAACAACTAGTTACAGATTCAAAACAACGTCACAATATTATAAATGCTTAGTCATAAGATCTGAAAATTAGTTAGGAGTTATTTTTACATAGTTAAGTTGTATTTTTCTCTGGTCGTCCATCAATCAGTAATCAAGTTATTTGTCTGTAAATTTCACTCGTCATTTCTAGTAATTCATGTGTCCACTTAGTTCTAAATAATCTAGTTACAAATCAATCGATCTTCCACTCAAATATTCTATGATACATCTCAGGATACTAAACTGTAGTGACACACTTGATGTGATCTACTCTGTAAACAGAGTAGTAATTAGTCATTAAAATTTGTTTAATATATTAATATACTTTCCTATCCACAGTTACGACTATTTAAATGTATTTCTTACTCCTCTGAATTAAACTTTTACTTACTTACTCTACATCAACTTCATTGACTATGAAAAGGCATTTGACAGCGTGGACAGAACAACACTATGGAAACTTCTTCGACACTACGGCATGCCTCAGAAGATAGTCAATATCATACAGAACTCATATGATGGATTACACTGCAAAATTGTGCATGGAGGATAGTTGACAAAGTCGTTCGAAGTGAAGACCGGTGTTAGGTAAGGTTGCTTACTCTCACCCTTTCTCTTTCTCCTGGTGATCGACTGGATCATGAAGACGTCAACGTCTGAAGGGAAGCGCGGGATACAATGGACATCTAAGATGCAGTTGGATGATCTAGACTTCGCAGACGATCTAGCCCTTCTATCCCACACGCAACAACAGATGCAGGAAAGGACGATCAGTGTAGCAGCAGCCTCAGCAGTAGTAGGTCTCAACATACACAAAGGGAAAAGCAGGATTCTCCGATACAACACAGCATGCACCAATCCAATCACAATTGACGGAGAAGATTTGGAAGATGTAAAAACCTTTACATATCTGGGAAGCATCACTGATGAACACGGTGGATCTGATGCAGATGTGAAGGCGCGGATCGGCAAAGCAAGAGCAGCATATTTACAAGTGAGGAACATCTGGAACTCAAAACAACTGTCAACCAACACCAAGATCAGGATTTTCAATACAAATGTCAAGACAGTTCTACTGTATGGGGCAGAAACCTGGAGAACTACGAAAGTCATCATCGAGAAAATGCAGGTGTTTATTACCAGTTGTCTACGCAAAGTACTTCAGATCCGTTGGCTGGAGACTATTAGCAACAACCTACTGTGGGAGAGAACAAACCAGATCCCAGCTGAGGAAGAAATCAGGAAGAAGCGCTGGAAGTGGATAGGACACACATTGAGGAAAGCACCTAACTGCGTCACAAGACAAGCCCTCACATGGAATCCTCAAGGCTAAAGGAAAGGAGGAAGACCAAAGAACATATTACTCCGGGAAATGGAGATAGACATGAGAAGAATGAACAAGAATTGGATGGAACTAGAAAAGAAGGCTCAGGACAGAGTGGGTTGGAGAATGCTGGTCAGCGGCCTATGCTCCATTGGGAGTAACAGGCGAAAGTAAGTAAGTAAGTAATGAGTAGAAAATTAGATTTTCTGACGTTTCGTGACTTAGTGTAAGTCACTTCTTCAGAGAATAAATAACCAAATTAAACTTGGATTAATTTTAATTTGGTTACTTATTCTCTGAAGAAGTGGCTTACACTAAGTCACGAAACGTCAGAAAATCTAATTTTCTACTCATTGGGATATTACAAACATATTATTTTTATTTATAACATCTATTTGTGTTTATTTGACTATAAACCAAGTAGAGATAGACAGTTCTATGTTTTTTATTTTAATAATAAGTCCGTTTACCAAGAGTCGGTTATTGAATCATTTTATTCGAATGAAAATATCGGGTCTTAAAAGAAAAGGAATGAATTTCAAACTATATTACGTTGTTTTACGGATCAAGCTAGTCTGAATATATCAAACAATTTAATAACTCTATGTTACAAAATACATTAAAACGATATCAAAGAGCTTCAATACGAAATCATTTTTCACATTATATCCTATTAAGTGCAAAAGTTGTAGTGTATCAACCTTTTTTTGCGTAGCATAACTCATTCAAGTCAAATAATCACTAGATTTCAAATATTACCATTAAGTTTATCGATAATAAGCTCATTACAAAAATTTGTAACTTCTGAATATATTCAACAAAAGGTTTAAAAAAATCCTTTGAGAAGTAAAATTAACAAACTTTTCATGAACTGTGAACATTTTCATTATCATGAAATTCAGATGATCCATTTCAATAAAAAGACAAAACAACAACAGGGAGTTTCACCGTTAGAATGAATAGCAGAAATTGAAATGTCTTGTATTTGACATTTAAAAGTTATACGAATATTAAATACAAACAGACAGAATAAAATAGAATAAGAAAATGGTTTTTAATGATGAACTCAAAAGTTGACTCAAAGAAGAAGAAGAAGAAGAAGAAGAAGAAGAAGAAGATGATGATGATGATGATGATGATGATGATGATGATGATGATGATGATGATGATGATGATGATGATGATGATGATGATGATGATGATGATGATGATGATGATGATGATGATGATGATGATGATGATGATGATGATGATGATGATGATGATGATGATGATGATGATGATGATGATGATGATGATGATGATGATGATGATGATGATGATGATGATGATGATGATGATGATGATGATGATGATGATGATGATGATGATGATGATGATGATGATGATGATGATGATGATGTTGATGATGATGATGATGATGATGATGATGATGATGATGATGATGATGATGATGATGATGATGATGATGATGATGATGATGATGATGATGATGATGATGATGATGATGATGATGATGATGATGATGATGATGATGATGATGATGATGATGATGATGATGATGATGATGATGATGATGATGATGATGATGATGATGATGATGATGATGATGATGATGATGATGATGATGATGATGATGATGATGATGGGGAGGAGGAGGAGGAGGAGGAGGAGGAAGAAGAAGAGAAGGAAGAAGAAGAAGATTAGTGAACATTTCAAGTCACATGAACAGAATTAACATACATCATTTCTCCAAAATGTTTCATAGATGATATTCTATAAAAACTTATAGAATGAATAAGTGTAATATTTTAAAATTAAGAAAGTATTATGTATATGTATATGCATAAAAACGTTAAGATTTCTGTTCTAAGTCTCTTACAGACTTGATGTTCATAGATTCTTTAAAAATTGAGTGTATTTTTGTTTAATATTAGTGTAATAAACATAGTTACAGAACAATTTATGAGAAATTCAAATGTTTAGTTTAAAATGTAAAACAATAAAAAATCGTTTAGCTTAGTGACTACTTTAAATACTGAGTTATTATAAAAGTACTTACACTAAGAAACTGGTCATTTTCAAACGAGTGATTAAAGAACTCAATAAAGTTATACAAAAGGTTAGTTGTTATAGGAATATAACCATCCAATCTTTGTTGACCGTACTGTTAAGATCTCTGAGATAATATACATTAATCGGACATTCCATTTATATACACAATCTCGGTTATCTTTGAACTCTCATAATCTTACTCTGTAGCCTTTAGATGATTACAAGTGACTAATAAATACAAGCTTTAATTGATACATTATATATATGATCAGAATGGGGTTTTGGAGATTGTAATAATTTTAATAGTTGGATTCATGAGTCAACGTTAGCTAGACCAGCATTGAAAACCTGGAAGCACTAAACGACCGTTTCTCCCTAGTATGGGACTACACAGCAGTGCGCGTTCACGATTCCGTATGCAGAATTCGAATCCAGGACCTTCGTTCTCATGAGCGAACGCTTAACCTCTAGATTACTGAACCGGCATCCAACTATGTTAGTGTTTAACTTCCATTGATCCATGAAATGTCGCGCAACCGTTCATCCATTGCCTAAGGTAGATAGTTGTCTCTACCCGACACAGATTGGACCCCAATGGTCACGGCTTCTCACTAGAACTCCACGAAATCATCTTGAAGACAGTTACTATTGAGCACATGATGATTATGATCAGAATGGCGTTTGTGGATCGATGAACGTTAGACATTAACACCGTTGGATGCCGGCTTAGTGGTTTAGAGGTTAAGCGTTCGCGCACGAGAACGAAGGTCCTAAGTTCGGATCCCGCTTGGATGCACACTGCTAAGGAGTTCCGTACTGGGAAGAAACGGTCATCTAGTGCTCCGAGGTTTTCAGTGGTGGTTTAGCTTACATCGACTTATGAATCTAACTATTAAAAGAACAATAAATATAACCAAATAAGCATCACTATGATTCAAACATTTACACTTGGTAACCGTATCATACGATGATTAAATAAACTTCCGTATTTCATTAGCAGGTAAGTTTTTCGTCACCGTATTAAACTCAATACTATTGGTGGATTTCATGGTAAAGTTTCATAATCATTGAATTGAAACAGCATGCAACATTGAATATGACCTGTGGTCTAATTTATTAACTCATGTTTTCACTCTGTTGTCAATCACTCCATCATTACTGAACAAAAAATGTATTTCACGGGACTGTATATGCTGATTAATATATTTGAAGCTTTTATTTTTAGTAGATACAAAAATGAGTCCTGCAATATCAAACCTGACGTTCATCGTTCAGTTATTGGCACAACCATTTAACTACTATACTTAATTGATACACCTAGATGTATATTTTCTCACCATACGACCTTCATAACAATGTTGAACTTTGTTCGACCTGCCTCAGAACGAAGGTACTTAGATGCTGATGATACAGATATACTTTGGTAATTTCATTTAAACATTACGAAGCAGTATTTGAATAAATAGTAATGGGTTTACTAGATGTCTTCATTTTGGCAAGCCTGATTAAAAAGGTTGTGGATGAATATGAATTGCAACTAATCATATTTTGAAGACTATATATATATCCATCGTATATATATATATATATATATATATGATGGATATTCTTAAGTTACAGATGTATATTGCGGTATTAGATATTTCCTTCTCAAAATGTTTTTACTGTAATTTATAGATGGTACTGAACGAAGCAATTATAATTCTTAATTAGCCACTCAGTTTCATTCATACAAAAATTATCTACATATCTTTACATATGTACTGTAAATCATCCAACATTTGGTATGGATACCATCTAAGTTACATTGCATTACTTACTAAATATCCACACGGAGAGCTCTAATTTATCATAATACTCGCTTAATTTTATTGAAAATGTTAAGGTATCTAAAAAAAACATTAAAAGTATAAACATTCTTTCTTAATTTGCATTCTTCATTCTTCATATTTTAGTTGACATTCACCGTGTAAACCGAACTCTTTTAATCAATTACGCTTTACTTTAACACTGAACAGCTGCTCTTTGAACCGACTGGAACTTTTGTATTGAAGCAAAAATTCAATCAAGAGCTGTTCATAAAAAACGGAATATGCGGTACACAAACCGACCAAAGTAATCTTCACCTTTTTTATGTCAAAAAAAATACAAATTATGAACAAATCTTTATACGGTGATTGTAGATGGTGTGTACTTCACTAGGTTTTCCCTATATGCACCGCCTTCTTGAAATCATTTTATTTGTTTTATGATAAAAGTTCAGTTAATTTTTATTACGTTTTTTGTTTTTCACTTTAGGCTACTTATAAGTAAGCGGACTTTTAAGGAAACTATTTTTAGATATATCTGAACGTTTGTCTTAAAATTCATGTTTGTATATCTACCGAAAAGTCATTTCTTTTCAAATTCAATTTTTAATAGTTTGTAAATCTAGATGTAAATAACCGTTGCACAGCAGCTGCTTCACAATGAAATTCTGCTTATGAATCTATCTGGTGAGGTTTTTCATCTTTCGGCAAATTCTTTGGCTATCTATACCCTGACAGTAATTTTTTGGACTTTTTTATGGATATCAGCCCCTCACTTCATAAAATGATAAATCACACTCAGATGTGCTTTATTGTGCATACATGTACAAATTCGGATAATTAACATGCTTTATAGACATAATCCGTCACTGATACTATTAATGACCTTAGACGTCTGGTTAATTGTGGGTCTTTAGTACAACCGCGGTTGTTCATTTACGAAGAAGCTATTATATCATAAGAATTAATGTAGATTGCCTTTCATATGTGAATAAATATTACTGAGAAATAAACTGAACCTTTCTGTCCCGCATTTTTGTTCTGACGCCGTCAACATAACATTGTATTTTACCAATGTTTGTTGGCATTGTTTAGATAAATCCATTTACGTAAGCAATATAACCTGTTCTCATGCTAAATATTTACGTTGGAGTTAGACGAATTTAAGTGTTCTGATTCTGCTACTCATAGTATATTAAATCAGTCGCTTCAAATGTAGATCTAACATTATATAGTAACTTGATCTAACTACTATTACGCACTAGTCTAGATTTTTTTTCTAACGCTTAAAAGCTCTTACCATTCTGATCGATCGTTTGTCATAAACGATAACAGAGTTCGCAGAAACGAAGCACTTATTAACTTTTTATTACTCACTGTATGACTCGCTAGAACAAGTTTTGAGACGTCGATTCTCTTTGATTTATCAAGCTATCATGAGAGGATGAATTGGTGACGGGCCCATCTGACCTAAACGTATAACTGGTAACGTCCAGGGACTCTATCATAAAGAAGTATATTGTAGTGGCAAATAAACCCCTTAAATTACAAATTGCAAACATTTTACATTGGCGTCGAAGTTGTAAATTTTGATGGACACCACAACCTGAAGGCACACAATTATTCATTACCTCCAGATTGTGGAGATAGATCTGACAAGCTTATTTTGTAAATAGTTTTTAATATTATTTGTATTTGTCAACTTCTCACTGAATGTACATTTATCATTAAATGATTGTACCTGTTGTTTAAGTTAATGACCTTGAAGACTTTTTCCGCTGTAATTCGAACATAGCGTGACATATGCTTACTGGCTAACAAATACATTACTACTCACACATCCCTCGTTCTATTTCCATTTGTGATTGAATTAGCTGAATTCTAAACCAAATATTATCATTATTTATAGACTGTAATTGGAATACATCACATTCTACGTGGGATTATATCACCAGAGAGTTCGCCAACCTGTTTGGAATTATCAAACATTTATAATTGTGGATTTACATTACCGGACCTAATCAGAACACGCAGCGTTTGATCAATTTAAGTAACGTCCCTAATTTTAATTGTATTTGTAACGATTAACTGTATATATTAATATTACTATTGATCTTTAGTAACTTTGTTTATAATTTTTTGCGTTCATATTTGTTTGGTCCACCACAATTATTTGGTGAGCCTCGTTTTTTTTATATAGACAATTACCTTATATATCTGCATATTTTTTATTATTATTACCTGGCACGACACCATTTTTTTTTTTCGTTTTTGTCATTATGAACTCTACCGGTAAGCTTATTGATATTGAAAGTTCACCGACCAACTTTCTAAACTCTCCACAACTAGAGGATAATGCTTTAAACTCGATCAACGCTATCTCAGAGTTAAGATTACCAACGTATTGTATTAATAATCCAAGAATCTGGTTTGCTCAGATTGAAGCTTTATTCATGGCTAGAGGCATAAAATCTCAGGCATCAAAGTATGCATACGTAGTCGGTGCACTTCCTGTTGAGATTGCCGCTGAAGTCGGAGATTTAATCGATCACGTGCCAGATTCCGAACCATATGATAAGATAAAAGCAGCAGTTATTCAACGCACCACGGTCTCAGATGAGAAAAGGCTGCAACAATTGTTAACATCTTGTGACTTGGGAGATAAAAGACCCTCTCAACTTCTCCGTCACATGAAACAACTCGCCGGTCCATACAAGCTAGACGAAGCCCTCCTAAAGCAAATGTGGTTTCAAAGATTACCACACAGCGTTAGACAAATTCTCAGTGTTTCAGGGAAATCCGTCGCACTTGATGACTTAGCCGACATGGCGGATAAAATGATGGAAGTCTACCATAATAGTCACGGTGTGAACTCATTGCAACCACCTGGACCACTAGATATTAGCTGTTTAGTCTCCTTTCAAAAGCAGTTAACGCAGTTAACGAGCCAGCTAGCGTCTCTGCAATCAACCATAGCAACCATCCAAGCTGGACAATCGAGATCCCCCTCCAGACGAAGATCTTTTTCTAGACAACGGTCTAGGTCACCGAAGCGAACATCTGATGTTTGTTGGTACCACCAAAAATACGGCACCAAAGCACGGCGTTGTACACGACCGTGCACATTTTCTGCGTCTGACACAGAGAATCAGGGAAACGGCCCGGCCAGACAGTGATGGCGGCGCCTGTTTCTGGCCACTACACGAGCCGTCTATTTCATGTCAGGGATCGAATTTCGGGCTCAGATTTTTTGGTCGATACGGGAGTCGAAATCAGCATTATCCCATTACACCTCTCTCAACGACGGCACTCTCAGAGTACTAAATTGTCTCTAGTCGCAGCCAATAACACAGTCATTAAAACTTATGGCGAGCAATCACTTATTTTAGATCTCGGTCTCCGGAGACGTTTCACATGGGTTTTCATCGTAGCTGAAATCAAACAACCCATTATCGGGGCCGATTTTCTCGGTGCTTACAATCTACTTGTAGACATGGCAAAAACGAAGCTAATCGACAAAAACACAAGCTTACAGGTCAGTGGCACAACTACCTCCAGTTACGAAGTTCATGGAGTCCGTATGTTAAGACCGGAAAACAAAATTTTCACCGATATCCTGTCGAAGTATGAAAGTATAACCAGAGCTGATTACCAAAACGAATGCTCCACACATCATGTCCAACACAGTATTACTACTACAGGACCACCTATTCGCGCCAGAGCGAGAAGACTCCCTCCGAACAAGTTGCAGTTCGCTAAGAGAGAATTCGAACATATGATGCAACTTGGGATAATCAGACAATCTAACAGTCCTTGGGCCTCGCCGCTGCATATGGTTCCCAAGAAAGATCAAGACTGGCGCCCATGTGGAGATTATCGCCGTTTGAATAACCAGACTATCCCAGACCGGTATCCGATACCTCACCTGCATGATTTTTCTTTAAATCTACATGGAAAACAGATCTTTTCAAAGTTAGATCTAGTCCGAGCATACCATCAAATACCGATGGCACCTGAGGATATCGAGAAAACAGCCGTAATCACACCTTTTGGCTTGTTTGAATTCTTGAGGATGCCTTTCGGACTAAAAAACGCCGCTCAAACCTTCCAGAGATTTATGGACGAAGTAACTAGAGGTTTGGATTTCGTATTTGCCTATATCGACGATGTTTTAATCGCTAGTTCTTCCATTGACGAACATGTCCAGCACCTACACACACTTTTTGAACGTTTCAAAAGTTATGGTGTTGTAATCAACCCTTCGAAGTGTATATTTGGCGCCTCATCTCTGGAATTCCTGGGACACCACATTGATTCCCAAGGAATTAAACCGCTTGAAGAGAAAGTCAAAGCTATCTCCAGCTATCCAGAACCAACCTCAGTAAAATCACTACGTCGTTTTCTCGGAACATGTAATTTTTATCGACGATTTCTACCAAATTGTGCCGATGTACTTCAGCCATTGACAGATTTACTGAAAAACGATAAATCACGTACCAAGAAAGAAAAGAACCAAATATTCAAGTTACCTTCCGATGCCAAAATAGCATTTGAAAAAGCTAAATCCATGATTGCTAATGCTACCATGCTTCAACACCTAAATACTGACCCCACAACACTGTTGATCCTATGCACGGATGCTTCACAAAAAGCCGTCGGGGCAGTATTACAACACCGGGTAAACAACACTATTACCCCCATTGCCTTTTTCTCCAAGAGATTATCGCCAGCACAAGAACGTTATAGTACTTTTGGACGCGAACTCTTAGCTATATATTTAGCAGTAAAACATTTCAACTTTTTGCTACAGGGTCGGGATTTCATCATTATGACAGATCACAAACCTCTTTGCCATTCTTTTAGCACATCGTATGACAAACACTCCCCACGAGAAGCAAGACAACTTGATTATATCTCCCAATTTACCACAGACATCAGGTTTATCAAAGGTCACATGAACATTGTTGCAGATGCACTATCTAGGAGGGATATCAATACGATGGTACTCAATCATGACATCAGCCTTGAAACCTTAGCTAAATTACAAGCAGACGATGCAGAATTGAAAGCCTGCAAAGAAAAGTCTAGCTTAGATCTCAAACCTGTACCGATTCCTCTTTCAGATACATTTATCATGTGCGACACTTCAACAGGCAACAATCGTCCGTTTGTCCCACACGCTTGCCGACGAAAAATATTTCAGCATTTACATGGCCTTTCACATCCAGGCATCAGAGCAACAACAAAGCTCATTACCGAGCGTTTTGTGTGGCCTAAAATCAACTCGGATGTTAAACGTTGGACACGTAACTGTCTCCAGTGCCAACGCAGTAAGACGCAAAAACACACCTACAGTCCAATTGGGAAGTTCCCTATCCCTGACAAACGCTTCCAGCACGTGCATTTAGATTTAGTTGGGCCTCTGCCACCATCAAACTCTTTCACACATATCCTCACAGCAATAGATAGGTTCACAAGATGGGCCATAGCATGCCCCATTAAAGACACATCGGCAGAGACAGTGGCTTCAGTTTTCCTCGACCGCTGGATATCCAACTTTGGCGTACCATCAACAATCACAACAGATCGTGGTCCCCAATTCCAATCCGTCCTATTTAACGAGTTCACTAAACTTCTTGGAGTAAATCATGTTAAAACGACAGCTTATCATCCGGCAGCTAATGGCATGGTTGAAAGATTCCATCGCCAACTAAAAAGCTCTCTGATGGCACAACCGGACCCTTCAAAATGGAGCGATGCTTTACCGCTCGTTCTCCTTGGGATTCGCTCGTCTGTAAAGGAAGACATCGGATGCACGGCCGCTGAACTAGTCTATGGCACGACATTAACGTTACCAGGACAACTGGTCAAGAATGAACCTACAACACCAGGAGACCCTTCTCGCTTTGTAAGCAGATTACTACAAATGATGCAGAGCATCAGAGCAATACCACCTCGAGAATACGACAACCGAGTCCATCTTCATGAACATTTAGAAACGTGCAAATTTGTTTTTGTTCGAGTAGACGCGGTGAAAAAGCCACTGACACCACCGTATGAAGGCCCTTATAAAGTAATAAAACGCACTCACAAATATTTCATTATCAATAAAAATGGGAACAAGGAGACAATTTCCATTAACCGAATAAAACCAGCTTTCTACGAAGTCCCTCAAGCCACAGAAGACAATGCTGCGAACAAACAATCACTCCCATCAATTGCTATCGAGGACCTACACTATTAATCTCATCTAAAAAATTTTTTTCTTTTCACAGTGTTCATAATTAATCACATTTTTTTTTCCACAATTATTCGTTTTGTCACATTTTTTTAAAAAAAAATTGTAACAATAATAAACGGGTAAACTCTTTTTAATTATTTATTCATTATACACAAAAATAAACAGCTCAATTTTTTTGCGTGTGTGTGGGTTATTAAAAGTTTTACACATTATTATCCTTGTTAGCCAAACAAGACATTAAATGACAGTATTTCCTTCTTTTTGTATTCGTTATGCTATGCTACATTATTGCTATTCTCAAATGATAACACACTCTATCTTATTCATGTTTATGTCATATCCATCTCTACAACTTTTGTTGGTTATAACTGTGAATATTATTTTTGTATATACACATATATCATATTCTTACATTTTTTTATCATAACCAGTGTTACCTCCGGACACTCTGGGGGGAGCTATGTGGAGATAGATCTGACAAGCTTATTTTGTAAATAGTTTTTAATATTATTTGTATTTGTCAACTTCTCACTGAATGTACATTTATCATTAAATGATTGTACCTGTTGTTTAAGTTAATGACCTTGAAGACTTTTTCCGCTGTAATTCGAACATAGCGTGACATATGCTTACTGGCTAACAAATACATTACTACTCACACATCCCTCGTTCTATTTCCATTTGTGATTGAATTAGCTGAATTCTAAACCAAATATTATCATTATTTATAGACTGTAATTGGAATACATCACATTCTACGTGGGATTATATCACCAGAGAGTTCGCCAACCTGTTTGGAATTATCAAACATTTATAATTGTGGATTTACATTACCGGACCTAATCAGAACACGCAGCGTTTGATCAATTTAAGTAACGTCCCTAATTTTAATTGTATTTGTAACGATTAACTGTATATATTAATATTACTATTGATCTTTAGTAACTTTGTTTATAATTTTTTGCGTTCATATTTGTTTGGTCCACCACAAGATCACAACAAGAAATTATATTAGCTACTTTGGAAGTCAGATGTACTCTTATTTGTGTCTACAATTTAATGGAGTAAACAGGTGAGTCTCTAGTTTGTGGACGAACCAATCACATTTAGGATAACAGATCTTTGATCTTGGCACGAAATTCATTCATCCATTTGGCATTTTAGCTGATATCAGTTGGTGATAAAAACCCTAACCACCAACTGTAAATCATAATCCTGATTTCTCACACTGGTTTATAACCATTATTTAATCAGGAGACAAAGTTTACCAGAGTTATGTGATATATTTGCGCGATAAATTTTGAACAATCTGATCACACATATACTTGTTAAGACATTTTTATGTGAAAATTAAAGGTCAACTAGACAGGTTAAAGCTAAGACATAACAAAGAAGAAAAAAAATAAAGTACACAAAACAAAGCGATTAACACTCTGGATAATAAATCAGTATTACCAGGGTAGGTTAAGTGTAAGGACAAATTGTTTTTGAACGCATAAAGGGGCTTCAATAAACCTTGGTATGCATCCTTGAGGTCTTTTGTATAACACTATGTAGCGGTAAATAAATCCCCGAAATAAATAGCTCTGTAAGTTTTCAACATTGGATGCTGACCATATTAGTTTTAACGGACTCACCTAGCTGAAGGCGCTCGGTCATACATCCGCACCATATCACGAGTGGGAACGCCATGCTCAACATACACTGCAATCGCTAGCCAGATTAGATCAGACGATCCTCAATATATTGATAGCTTATCAAATATATCTTCGAACCTCCTCGCTTCTGTCTTTTGATTTCACTTGGTGGATATGCTTCATATGAGGAGGTGTTACTGGTTAGAGCGTTGTCAAACTCCGAATACGCTTGATGGAACCATCATCTCTCCTACTAATCAGGATGTCTAGAAAAGGAAGTTCGTTGTTCTCATCTTCTTCACATGTAAGCGAAATGTGCTTTTGACTTGTATTGAGTTCTTTCAGCAAACTGTTTATATCTTCACCTTTATTCCCGATGATTATGATATCATCAACGTACCGTTTATACGGACCCATCTTTCGAATTGAGTCTTCAGCTAAATTTTCAACATATCCCATAAACACATCAGCCAGCAATAGTCCTAAAGGGCTACCTATAGCTACACCATCGATTTATCGAAAGTACTCACCTTTAAAAGTGAGTTTTACATTATCAGTAACAATAAATTCAAGAACGACCTGATCATCTTAGCACAACAAATGCAATGGGACAATGAATGTTAGTTCACAAAAGATTTATCATCACAATCTATCTCTTTCCGAGGAAATACAAAAACTGCAACCAAACAATCAAAACAGCTATTTTCGCGTATCAGTTACAGAACACAAAGGTATCTGCGCATTCTGAGCTCAATTACGGGATCATTTATATAAGCTTCGTCAAAGCTTTGATAAAATCTGTACGATGAGATTTTATTGAACCTGGAGAATTTAAGAGCCCCGGAGTGTATATTTCATTGCATTACAGACCATTACGATAAGCCGTTGTCATAAAATAAGAACAAATTCAAGCTGCAATTGATGGAAACCAGTAATCAAGGCACTGCCACGGGACTCTGTTTCTGGCTTTTTTATTGTTTGTGCCCTATATTCATCCACATGTGGACACATCTATGTCCTGCTCAGCCACTATAGCGTTTTTACACGTCTCAATCATATCAGATTCCGAGGTTTTTTATTTTTGTTCTCTCTGCAAAGCCGTATATGCCTTTTTAATTATTACTGCAAGTGGATAGACAAATTACTGCTCAACGACACTTGGCCACAAGAAACTCACACTATTATCCTAATGAGTGGTCGCGTGGACTTCATATTCTTCTGCTCAACTACCAGCGGTTCCGCATTTCCCGGGCTTCAAACTATCACCCGGCCGGATGGTACAAACATTAAATAAAGTGAATTCCGTCGCGATCATTTCCCACTGGATTACTTCTTTCGTTTACATTTTGTTCACCTACCACTGACTTGACCTTCTTACTTCCCTAGTTTATAACTACTATATTCGTACAGTTTTCATGTACTTGGATACACAATTTTCAGGCTTCATACCAACCTAAATGCCCATACCTTTACGAAAAACAATACTTTATACTGTTGTAATATGCAATATAGCACTGTTATTCTACACACAGCCCATAAGTTGAAAACCCTGATATGCCTGTAACATGACATTTGTGTTAGCGGTGTTTTACAACGAGGTCTGAGACATAACTTCGTGTGGTTCACAAAATTTAATCTAATAATCATTCTGAATGAACCCAGGATCACAAAAGAAGGCAGAGAGAAGTTGCTTACCAACAGCCATTGGTAGTGATGTGAATGAAAACAATCCACCCGAATTTGAGTGATATTATATCCTTTTCTTTTCATGCTCCCTATAATTGTGGACGAAGCAACCGGTCGATGAAATTGAGACTTTTCTTGTGTTTGCTACTACTTAGATTCAAGTTTTAAGTTAACCTTGTTATTCACAAGTCACCCCAGGCCCTCATGCTATGACTAAATGATTGGCATTTGATGAAATGAGAGGACAGTAGATAAGAATCAAAAACGATAACTGATAGCCATGAGCGTCTGTAAGCACTTTATTTTCCTCTTAAATATAACAAACGACCTTTCCATTTCCTACTCCGACTCCCCATTCATTACTCAGATCCATTCCACCTTGTTGCACGTCATGACTAATTGTTATATATTACGGTATTCCTTTGCCCAGAAACCTCAACTACAGGTCATCCTAACAATAGCGACTAGCATAAGCTTCGCCCTCCAACGTGACTCATGGATTTGAAGGTTCTTCCTACGTCTGAATCATATACCTGGCATACGCGTATATCAAGGTCATGGCTTGTGCAAACACCTTTATAGCCTGTTGACTTCAATTTCATCGAGTGATGATGCTTACATTGTACAGATGCCACTTACCGTCGAAGCTAATTATCGACTTAATACGCGTTAGAAAATTACGGACTAAAATTAGTCAAATCATGAGCTTATTGCCAGTGACAGACAATTAGAGGAACGAAGCGGAGAAAACCGGCGAAGGAACCATGACACCTTGCCATACTACTCATTATAAGCGTCAATATAAAGCAAAATAGATAGGGTGTAGTGTGGTAAAGAGACTGGGGTTGGATAGAATAGTTAATGACAAACAAATACAAGGCACATGAGCATAGAAATACAAGTGAAAAAAGAATAGAGTTATTGAGAGAACAAGTATGACTTTAAGTAGAATGCTGTTTGATTTATTGAAATCTCTTCAAAGACTAGGATAAATCGTGTTAATGTGTATTAGTATCAAACACTACGCCTACTCGCCTCTTGACAGCAACTATAAACCTATTGAATGATGACATGACGCAAAAATCTGTCTGATATAGCTCCATAAACATTCCAACATAAGGATTTTCAGATTTATTAGTGCCGCCTCTTAATAAGCCTACTAAAGTAGCGCCCTGCCTGTAAATCGTTGACGTATGTCATTTTCATGTCTGTAAAAATGTTATCCAACAAACTTGTAGAAAATAATTAGTAATTGTTAATAATACTCCTCTAATCATGAGGTCTCCAGTGCTACTTTAAGCTGAAGTCGAACTTCTACAGAATTAGCAAAGTATCTTAATCCATCCGCACTTTGGAAAGATTTGGACATACTGATAAGTTTTTGAGTGAGATCATGTACCGATTGATGTTAGACCATCACAATTGAAAACCTGGAAGCACTGGACGGCCGTTTCGTCCTATTGTGGGACTCCTCAGCAGTGCGCATCCACGACCCCCATACTGATAAGCTTATCTTAGTTGTCCTCGATCCGAAACAGCGTGTTCAGCTTTGTCTGCGCACATACTGATTGTGAAAACACCAGTTTACGTAATGTACGGTTAGAGTTAGTATTCATGGTCATGTCTCACAGTGATCTGCACAGTCATAGTTAGCCGCGATCCTAAGAATGAGGCTACCGCGGTAACGTTGTGTTTGAAAGGTTATGAATAGCAGTGGCGTTAAAACGACCTTCCACTTAGTTGGACTCGAATATATTCACCACGGTTTACACAGCCTTAGTGAGACCAAAACCGGAAAATTATGTACGGAGAACAAGCTTCTGTTTAGAAGGCTACTACCCACAAAGTTACGGAGCTGCTCGGTTTACCATATGCAATGCGGCTTAGAACGTTAAACCACATTTAGCGCAGAGTAGGTAACTTAATTAGGACGCGTGGGATGCCAAAAATGACGTTCAACCTGTTATATCATCTCTTTTACTTTAAATTATACTAGGGCAACACGAAGTAGACAACAGGAGCGTCGAAGGTTCGAAAGTAAACGAAATACCAGTGCAAACAAGTTGTTAAATCTGAGATTTTAAACTGATAAAAGCTTATTGAAAGACGACTGACTGGAGCTACTGATCTCTTGTTTCTCAAAAGATAATCCTCGGAAAATTCAACACAAAAAAGCGAAAATCCAGCGAGGACTTTACTTTTTCAAACTAAGAGTTGATATCACCTGAGATCCTTTTCCACTGAAAGTGATCATGGCCTTCTCAATGAATAAGTTCAAGAGGAGGTTTAACGACCACGTGCTCAATCATATATTCCACTCTCTTCTTTGTATCATTTATACCTGGTACATGTCTCGCAACTTGTTTAGCATTGACTTTATTACTATCACTTTATAACATTAGACTATTCCTAAGTATTTCACTTGCCGTCACTGACGTATATCTGTTATTATAACTTTTTTGGCTCCTCATACTATCCACATGGATAATTAATCGTATTACTTGTTCGCTTCACCTGACCATCGTGCTTTCTCAATTGTTTCACATTCAACTTTCCTCATTTGTTATTTTTTGCACTGCGGTAAACCAAAATCCAACCTGTTAGCTGATAGCTGCTGTTTCCAGAAACCCTACTACCCTGAGACAAATAGGATTACTCAGATTTGAAGACATGCAAATAGAAAATTAACAAACTTAGTAAGAATAGTTCAGTTGGGTAACTAGGCTGAACCCACCCCACTGAACTCTGCCAGAAACTTAGAACCTGACTGAAATAACAACAAATGGGCACAAAGAAATCCTCAATTTTATACTAGCTCATTACAAGTATAATGGGTTTTGTATATTACTGATGTTGCGACTTTAAGGCCTGCTAATTATCATGTGATTTATTTGCCAATTGAAATGAGACATATACATTCTCAGTACAGTACAACGTACAATAATAATCTTTAGATCAAAATGAAGAGTATAATAAGAATATGGATATACATACTGAATAGTTATAAATAAGAATATATATAATATTAGTCCCTTATTGGTCCTCAGAAGTTGCCCGTAATTTAATGTTTATTAGGATATAAAAATTGGTAATAAGTATTATCCTGAAGTGATTCGCACTTCTAAAACTTGTGTCTTCACTCACAAAGATGCCATTTTTATCCAAAGAATCTGTTTCGAGCTCAACATTCAGTAAACTACTTTTTTCTTCGAGTTTTATCCGAGTTAATAGTTACCCATGGCTTTGCTCCAGCCAACTGTTACAAGTTTTAGTGTTTTCCATGTCAGAAGGATAGTTTCAGTATATCGTAAATTTTTTAACATTGCCCGTTTTTATCCGTTTCACCCATCTTGGATATACTATTCTTTTTAACAGTCATAAATATTTGCCAGAATGTGTTAAACAACTTATATTTCACCATGATCACTACGAAAATATGTAAGCCACCAGGACGCCATTTTGTCATCACCTGTGGTATGCAGTGAGACAGATGAAAAGGTAGATTTCACGAAACATACACAACACACTTGATGAGTCAAATCGCATGTGAACACGTCGCACATACAACATGAAAGCTGAGGATTCGCCGAGCGATAAGATGATTCTCCTGGCAGTTTTGACAAAAATTGTCAGTAATCCTGAAAATAGCTGTTCTTGAGTGAATAAATAAATCAAGACGCGCGAAGGGGTAAAGCGGAAGTTGTTAGACAACATAAGTACTGATGGAAAAAAAACTAGTGAGGATATGTTGAGACTCAGGGCCACCATAATATCGACGGTATTAGAATCTCTTTTTAAACTTATGTCTCCTAGCAAAGACTCTCCAAATGTAGCTGTAGTCCTCGAAACGTCTACGGTAGGCGACTGGACTCTAATCAATAGGACTAAACGGAGTCGAAAGTCACTTTCAAAAACAGTAAACAGCCTAGGTCTTGTAGGAAAATCAGATAATGAATCGGCCGTTCAGTATACTCCTAAGATCATCTAACCAGTCCACAAAAACACAAGAATCCGAACAGCGACCCAATCGAAACTGACCTCAATCTCAACGTACTCAAAAATCTGTAAAATGGTCATGGTATCCAACGTACATTATGGTAAAAACGTAGGGCCTCAAGTCATGTTGACGCTAGAACGTTTTTGACTTCGTATACAGTATTTGTGCGTCCCAAGCTTGAGTGCTACATACATGCGGCTAGCCCCTACTTAAAAAAGACAGTAAGCTATTGGAGAAACTAAGCTGATTCTCGGAATCGCGAAGCTCATGTATGATGCCTGACAGGCTAAGCTAAACCTATTGCGATTGTCATATAGAAGAACTAGATGTAACTTCATTACAGTTTTCATACACCTAGTGATAAATTTGCATCTGATATGCCCCCGTTTTTCTGTTTTCCAAAACAGAGGGTTTAAGAAGACATTCCCTCAACATGTGATTTAAGCTCCATCTGTTAGCTCTTTCAAAACGAAGTTGGAAAAACTGAAACTGAGCGATGTGCATTACAGGCGCGTTATTTGTATTAAGCGCTACCAAGAGCAATGAGTATTTTGTCGAAGGTAGAAAATTGCTTCTCCTGTTTTGTAAACACTGGTTTACTTAATTACTGCTGGCCCGTAATCTCACTTTTGTGTGCTTTAAACCACTCAGATAGACGACTTTATTACCTTATCATAGGTATATTCAGCTTGGGTAGGCTTCCTAGATATAGTTCAATCAGACTTGAATGATTTGAATCCTGTTCAATATAACACGACAGTATAACGACCTATCCTTGTAGTTGATATCCGAATGCGTTTGATATATATTCCCTGCGGTTATCTACTTCTGATGCCCTTCACAAGTATTTTCTTATTGATGGTTCTATGAAGTTGCATAGTTCAAACCTAACCATTTTTATCTTCACATATCTGAATCGTCAGTTCAGCACTTCAAAGCTGAACCACTGTATTGGTTTTGTACTGATTGTATCAGCTGATGTAACACAATTTAACTTAATTATCGATACACTAGAGTTTTTGATAACCGAAATAGTAGGATTCTAGAATTCCACCGTAAAAATGAACGTTATGACTTTCCGCGGCATCTCAAACATCAGATGGTCTTGTATATCTCAATTATAAGCCTCCCCCTAACAAGCACATTGATATGGCCAAGAGTAAGAAAAGTCTGCTCACCTTCTTGTAATGCTCCCATACGGTCAATTTTTTATAGCCTCTGTCAGGAAAGCTCTACTCACTGCCTTCACGTGGTAGAAGTGTTTGCAAAAGTAAAAGAATGGAAAGTTAACGGCCGGCGTCTAGACTAGGTGCATACTGTGGGTCCATCTGGCGTGTTTGTAAACTCGGGTCGCAAACCAATGGTGAATAACAACTCTAGCAACCCGAGGTGGTAACCAGCGTATGAAACTATTTTGGTCACTGGCCACCATGGGAATACATATAACGTTGCTCCACTGCCTTGTGGGTCAAACCCTTGGATCAAATCTCGTGGAGTGGCTCTGGAAGAAAACCACCTTCCACGGTTTGACAGTATCGTACTCCACACATATTTTGTGTGCTGTATACTATTTTCCGATCCTCAGTTGTACCAAATTTTATGTAAACTAAATAAAATAGTAAATTATAGTGTTAGTTTATTTTGTTAAGTATCACACCTCTGGTAGGACCTAAGATTTCAACTGTAATATGAATTGAAATAATTTTATCGATTGATAACTACTTAGCTCTTAAGGTGATAATTTGTATCTTTAGCTGAAGCATCATTCCTTCCTGACCCACTCATCATTCAGCATAGACTTGTATAAATATGGATCAACTCAAGTTTCCACGTGACATAAGCACAGTAGGGACTAAGTAAAATGAAAAGCAGAGAAACCTAGGTAATAATATTACTGGTAATGGAAAACTAGACAGGAAATATGATTTGCAATGAATCTATGAAATGACTGAATGAAGATAAGTGCAAGACAATTTGAAATTTAAAACATAGGAGAATTTGAACAGTGAATTGATCTCATGCAACCAACCTCAGGCCATTAAATACAAGGTTTCCAACTGTAAATTATTCATCTTTGTAATACCTACCAAACCTTTATACCTCACGATACAGCTCTGTCTATTGCTAATTGACGTTTTAGACTGTCTCCATACCTTTGTATTGCTACACAGGGCCCATTTCAATCAATTTTTATGCTAGCAAGCATTATATGCCAGGGTAGGGGGTGAACGAATATTAATAAAAAGTTCTTCAGACATCCCAAATAACCAAAAGTCATATTTCAAGAAAAATGCCCATTTATTTGTTTCAGGCCCCATTAATTTCCAAGTTTGTAAAAATCACCCTAAATGATATGATTGTTGGCCGAAAACATGTCTTTGGTATTCATCTAACTCCGCCATTTCATCACTTCTGCACAAATTCGGTATCAAGCCTTAATGAACAGGAGCCCATAAAGGAAAACCCTCATACAAATATCCGTAAAAATTACAAAGGCAAGCTATATAAACAAGCCGATTTAGCGACAAGTATAGAATATTTTAATTCTGATGGTATGTCAACGATTTCCCTTCGTTCAACCTTCTTTTTAGTATTTAGAAATACTTATAAAGGAAAACCTGTATGGTTTTACTACAGACGTAACTATAAGGGACACTTCCCTTCGAGTATAACAAGAAAAAATTGTGTTGTATGTTTAAATACTTGCTTTACTTTTTAAATGTTTCTTCATCTTCCTTCTTGTCGACGAGCACTTATTTACTGGATTTCATGATGATATCTCTAAACTCTGTTATAGCAGGATATTTCTAGGTGCATAGTTTCTGTTGCTACTGTCATTGTGTTTATTATCATATATAATATAGGTGATAATATTAACATGGATCCGTGTAACGTATGTGTATTTGGTGCCTCCTTGTACCAATGTCTGTGTTTAAATAATGGATCTGACACAACTAATATATACCACACAAGCGCTTATAATAACATTCATATTATATGATAATTTCCATTGAAACAACACTCAAGCTACAATTACAAAGCTGTTTGAACTAATATTTATTTATTTGGACACAAATATTAATACAAGGGGGCACCAAATATATATGCGCCACACAAAACAATGAGAATGGGAAGAGAAAAGTTGAGGAAGGTAAGGAGCGTAAAAAAGAACAATAACGACCAGATTAGTGTAAGATACTGTAGTGATAATAATATTAATAATAATAATAATGGGGGAGACGGAAAGGTACAATCAGAAGAAATCTTTCAGTTAAGGAAGATACAACCACTTTTTATATGAAGAAAGTAAAAGCAGATTACAGCAGAATCGCCACTGGCTTCTATTCTGAGCCATATCTTATAATGTCTCTAGCCACCGTGTCGCACCATCTCTCGGACCCCAACCAGGGAGTCGTGAAGAAACAACAAAAGCCAGCGTTTTGCAGCTTCCTTTCATGCCACGACATCATGTCATGCACTGACCACCTCTCCGCTTTCTCCAACCAGTCCCAGAGTCAGTAAATAATGCACGATGTGGAATTCTCTAGCATGACATTCGTAGAACATGTCCAAGTCACCGAAGTCGATGTTTCAAGATGGTGACACCAATTAGATTATCGTCTCTGTGCCGAACACACGATGCCGAACCTCTGCATTACTAACATGGTGTTGCCACTGGATGTCAGCAATCCTTCGGAGACAACGATGATCAAACACAGAGAGTCGTCTAACATCGTCAACTCGGAGAGACCAGGTTTCACAAACATATAGCAGAACTGCTCCGACCGACGCGTTGTAGATCCGACATTTTACAGCCAGACAATTCACATCACGAAGGCGCCAAAGATGGCCCAGACTGGCATAAGCCGCTCTGGCTTTCACTATACGTACATTGATCTCATCACTCACGCCACCACCAGCACTTATTCAGCTACCCAGATACACGAACTTCTCGACTGTTTTTATCTGCTCACCATCCAGGGTGAGTACAGGATTAGAATCCTACTAGTCTTGTAGAAGTACTTTGCACTTCGAAGGTGCAAAGCACACACCGTACCTACGGACACTGATTGCCAACTGATTAAATGCAGATTGCATGGCTTGGGCATTATCGGACAGTAAGACAATATCTGCATACTCAAGGTCGAGAAGTCTTTCTCCAGGCAACAGATCCACACCGCCATTACTTACATCCATCAGAGCTGTTTCTAGAATGTCATCGATGGCAAAGTTGAAGAGGAATGGTGAGATTGGGCAACCCTGCCTAACCCCACTGCTCAAATGGAACAATGTAGAGAGGTGATTATATGCCCTCATTCTGCCTGAGGTATTTGTATATAGGGCCTTTAAGATGTTAATGAAGTTCTCAATCACACCCTTCTACAATAGGCAATCCCAGATAACAGTCCTGTCCTACGAATCGAAGGCAACCGTAATGTCAAGAAACACTACGATTGTTGACCTTTGATAAATATGACGGTGTTCTAACACTTGACAGAGGGTGAAGATATGATCAATACATCCTCGACCAGAATGAAAACCAACCAGCTCCTCGCGAGTCAATCTTTCTCGGGTTTCGAACAACCTACGTAGTATGACGGAAGCCAATAGCTTGGACGTAATCGTGTGTTTTACTTGGTAATATTTATAAGGGGAACAAAATCGTCCACAAACTGCTTGCAGTATTGTATTATAATTGACAATGTTATCCAGATGTTTGGATGAATAACATAAATATTGATGTGTACAAGCTCATAGTGGTTATATAGTCAGCTCACAATGCACAGGCACTTGTTCGTTGTTGTATACGAATGTGACTAGTATATTGGCTTACCCAATTTTGAAATTTTAGACTTTTTTTGTATGTAATCATTCTCCATACATAGGAAAAAATGCATGATACAGCACCTCATTGACAATAATTAGCATTGTTTTTTTTGTGAATGCAATATATCCAGTAATCAAACCCTGACTTTTCAAATCTCATGCTAAACGTTGCTTAAGTTCTACTCATTCGAAACTTTTTATTTCTTATTTCCTTATAATTTGACTTCTAACTTTTTTTCTGATTGCTCTCAGCACTTTGGAAAATTCGTAAGCTCAAATCCATGCCCCATTTGTCGTGATGAATATTTAGTATTAAGCCATCGAGTAAGTTAGTCTGTTTCTTAAACTTCATTGAAAGTATAAACATCAACTCGTGACATGACGTTTCTTTATTTTACTTGATATGCTACTGTCATTTAGAATCACTTTGTTTACCTTGAAAACTATAACGTTTCAAATAAATGTGGATATGTATTCCAAATATACATTCATTTCAAAAGATATCAAGTGTGTCTTTCAGCTAGTGATTCCCAACATTTGAATGGTCTCAGGTAGACGCTGCCTTAGCTTGCGTAATATGCATATCCCAAACTATCTACATTATTGAAAGTTTATAACTGTCGACTAATTCATCTTTCTTCTCCAGAGCTCTACGTTTAGTCTCTACATTTCTCATTAACAGCTCCTAAAGGATACGTACAATTGATTACCCAACATTTATTATAGCCATCTGTCTTTCGTAAACATACCTTTTATTTGTAGAATAACAGAATGAACCGTTACCAAACATACCCGTTGAGTAATTAGCATATTAATGTATGGTTTTTCTACTTGGGATTAATAAATGTTCTCAAATATATGCGTCTTCTTAATTGAAATTTAATTATTCCCTGCTTCTATCTGAAATCGTTTTTGGGTCAATAGCTTTCACTTATATCTATACCAAGTATTCGATCATAAGTGTTTCCAAAGCATTCTCTACCTATGATAAAACATTGGAGTTAGCAATCCGAACATCACCCCTAAATTAATTGATAAAGCTGACAAATGAGTTAGTGCAGATGCAAATTTTTATCAGCCAAAAGGGCTGGGTCATGTGCTTCATATGTCCAATCATTCCCTACTTGACTGTTATGAAAGCCAGCGTAAGTGTGGCTTGGAAAGCTGACTATAGATGGTCAAACCAAATCATGGTCTAATGTCAGTCCATGTAGTTACTGAAGTTTGAGTTTAAGTTGTCTGGGAGTAGGAGTACACTGGCTTCGTGGTTGGGATCCGGAAGAAAAATATAATCAACAACTGAAAACTTCAGGTAGTGTGGCTAAAAATTGATAATAGTATCTGTATGGATCGTCTCTAATATATCCTAGATCTTTTTGTGTTCAATAGTCTCGCTATCCTATTTGAAATCAAACATAGACGTGTTTCATGATAATGTTCTGTCTGTTACGTTTGGAAGTTTACACACTGATTATCGACTGTATTAAACCAAGAAACTATAATTGGTGAAATTTCAGTGCAGCGATAAATAATTTAGCCACAATATCCCATTCATCTTGAATCTGTACATCTTGTCTATTTATTTAAAATTATACCCGAATAGTAATACGTATATTAGAGGGGTTGTAAAACGAACATTCATGAGCTCCACTTTCAGTTACAAGTGTTTATATCCCAATCCACTACTTACAACAATTAAGTAGTATCTCCAGCCTTCATATAACAAATGTAACGCAACATCCAGTTCATACGTATATATTTGGTCTCTATTTTTTTATCTTGAAATGAAACAATTTTATCAATAAATAAGTTTGTCATTTTGTTTATCGCATAATGTATTACAAAACTTCTAATAATAATATATATTCTGAATATAATAATCACAGAATTTACGCCAGTTTACAGGTATGATCAGTTTGATATAAATAGTACCATTAAATGTAGATAACAAACATGTAACATAAGATTGTTTTAAGTTTGCTAGTTCAAAAATTGTTTAGGTAGTACATTTATGACATGTATTACAGCAATGAAATACAACAGCCTGGAACTTTTAATTCTTCTTAAGTGGACATAGTGTTGATGCATGAACGGTGCATTTAAGGTCGTTTCCTGCGCCATAACGAATTAATTATAACCATCTACAACTAGAGAAAATAAAACGGAAGCAGAGAGCACGGAACAAAAAGGCAATAATTACTACGATAGGTTAGTCAGATCTAGCATAATACATATGCCAGGTTATTTTATGATGAACGGTTCGTGTTAGATATTATTCAAATTAGTTAAGGTTGCCAGGGACGATGTTAGTGTGAAGTAACAGCTGGTAGAGAGGTTTATCTAATAGATTCAGTAATAAGAACGACTAAATCTTTAAAGTTCCTATAATCTCACTTGTGGAATAAGATACACTTACAGATGCTAGAACAGTTAATGCATTTTCAGAGGAGCAGTAAGCATCGATGCAGTGAACAAAGGATGGGAGTAATTTTATCTTGCGGATATATTGTGGTAGATTATTCCAGAGTCTGGAAAATGTGCTAGTAAAGTAATTCATATAAAGAGAAGATTTAGAATGTGATCGTTCCACTAGTAACAAAGAGTTACGAATGCTGTAAGAGTTTTTACATATTGAACTACTTCATTGGATGTAAAAGGTAGTTTATTAACTATTTTGAAGAAAAAGATTAGAATTAGTATGAGTCTCCTCTTCCATAAAAGGTCGAGTCCAAGTTTCTTACATCTAAACTTATAATTTAAGGTACAATCAGTCCCAAGAATGCGAAGTGTAAATTGTCTGAATGGATTCCAACCTTAATTTATCCTTTTATTTCAAAAACTGACTCCATCTTTAAATATTGTCATTCTGAACGTCATACACTTATTATTTAATCTCGCCTATCACCTTTTTTTTCTAATTTAGCACATTGAACTGTTAAAGCAGTTTATCAATCCGGATACTTTAGAAATCTTTCCATTGTCTAAAACTGGTAAGCGTTTCTATACGAATGTATGTATAATATTTTTTACTAGCCTTTCATCTATTCAATAAGCAGTCGTTTATTTCTGTTTTCTACGACGTAAAATGCACTTTCATATTTTGTTTCAAATAGTGACTGGTAGCGGGACTCAGGACGTCCGTCCCACTGTACTCGGGATTAGTCAGCTGGATGTATGTACATCCCAGCGTTAATTTTCCCAGTGAGACTCGAATCTAGTTTTTACTACGTCTCCTAATAATTATGAACATGAACTCCGAGACGCAGACATGTCCAGTTGGTGAGTTGCAAGTAGGACGAGACTCACTTCCTGAGTTCCACTGCGACCCTCTGTCCAAAAAATATAATTAGCTTGTAACTGCATGTAGTGTCGAGGGGGTCATCTTGAAGAACCGATTAAACACAGCCCTAGATATGAGCCTGGTACCTTAGTGGACGGAACACTTGGCTTTTAATCAGTAGGTTATACGTTCGAACGACGTTCTACCTATGTCGGTTTGAGCAGGCGGATAGCACTGTAGTGAACGATAACACAAGTGGGGACAATAGAATGTATTTGAAAACAAAATTACATCAGTAAAATCTGAGAACCATGCAGTAAATGCTTAATTTGCAAAATATCAATCAACCGTCTCAGATTTCACTGTTCCTTCATTTCCACAGCAATCATTCTATGTTGTCGTTCTTTTTTCTTCGATCTTCTGCTGCTAGTTATCTCACTTTCGATTGGTGATACATACTACTTATATCGATCAACGTCAGTAGCATACACCAGAGTATTACTACCCTTTACATGACTGGTGTATCTCAAAGTAGAGTACATAAACAGGTTCGTGATATGTGAGTTAACGTCTGCTGTTCGTGTCCTGATTACAAACAATAAAGAGATACAAATTTTACAAATAATAATAAAATGTATCAGTAAAACAAAACTTAGTCACATATATATTCATTTGTAAAGTTGTGGCTCATTTAGCTTAGATATTCGAATTTTACCGAATAAATCATTGGTTAAAAATTACTTTGCTTACCAATGTCTAACCAACTATCTGGTGCTGTACATAATAAATAGTTACCATAGTTGTCTAAAATGCACAAACACGCCCAAACTTATGAGTTGTTGCGAAATTGGATATGTTTTATGGAATGAAGTGCAATCAAATTTATACAATGATCATGTAGAATAATGTATAAATAATCGATTTTTGTTCATATTTGATTTAAGGCAATAATTTTCTGGATATCTAACTCATTTAAACGAACAATTTTTCTTTTTAAAAATAAGTCTTTCAATATGAATCTCATAGTCTTATTGAGATTGTCAATAATAGCTTGTTCAAATTATGGTATAACTTTTTTATGGAAAAAGAAACGATAGCGTTAACTAACTTCGTTATTTCCAAGTAAATAAATTCAACTCAGTAATCTTAGGCAGCATTATGTATTAATAACAGTCGACAAAACATATTTTGTACACAAAGACTTTCGATACTATCCAGTGCCTTCAAATGTCATTAAACATCGTGGAGTTCGACCTCTAGGTTCATTAATCTAAAGTATATCTACTTATAAAAGTACTCAAGACTAGATAAAGTTAAAGAATATTGATATTATGCAGTATCACAACTAACTCATACAATCATTTCTGAAAATTGAATTACACCATCTAGAAACACGTGTGCTTTTTCATTTTGTGGTTTAACAAATTAATCAAAATTATGTTTTATAAAAACTCAACTTACTAGCTTACATTTATCCAACTTTTATCTTTCTACTAATTTTAGGAAATTCTTGTTATTTCCTATTTGTTAAGATTGTAACCTGTTAACTAATCAGAATCTATGGTTAAAAAACATTAAGTAATGGCATAGTTTGAACTTTTTTTTATAAATGTTCAGTCATTGGTATGGGTGAATTGATCCTCTATCTTTAATCAGCTTTAATACTATTTTATATTTCCTTTCATTACCGATTTTTATTTATTTCCTCATTCTATTTCCTACGTCCAGCTTCCCACTAGCCATTGATATCATTAGTATTGTTTCTTTGACTCTGGAATTAAAATTACCTAACGTGGCCGATACCCGTACGTTAGCTGAGTCGTTATGTGGCAATAGAACCACTGAACGGCTGACTAAATATTTTAGACTTTAAAAACTGTTGTTTGTATACAAAAGCTATGAGCATCGAAACTAAAACTTGATATCAGTCCCTGAAGCCACTGAATGTTAACGTGAGCCATTTTGATATATGTAAATTAACTAGTTAGAGTCTGCGCAATTACTGTAATCAAGTGGTCAGAAACATAGGGCGAAATACCTTAGAATCGATAACAGCAAAGTTACATTCACTTTTTATCTTCCTACAGATATTGAGATCCAATATCTCTTCGTAAATATTCTTTCATTTCTGTCCTTTCGAACCATACTCTGGATGCTTAGTGTTACTGGTTATCACGACTACTACATTATTTTGACAACGTTTTTTGCATCTCTTCATCATCCTTGATTTTATAACGCGAAATATGTGTTTTGCTCTGTGACTAGATAGATTGTTCAAGTTATCCATATTGTATGGATAATAACTTTTAGTGGTTAACGTACTTGAATCTCAAACAGTGAGTGAGCTAAATGCTCTCTGATTCCCTTTCTGTCTACTTCAGTTTGATGAATCACTGGGCAATATAACAACAACAACCATATCTGAAAGTCGACTGGGTACATGAATCGCTCCTCTGATTATATTAATGACTTAACAAAATAAATAATGACCATTTATAATGGATAAAAATAATCGATAATTTTTGGATACTTATTGTTAATCTGTTTTTTATTTGCACAAATTAAACTAATTTATTCTACAATTGACTATATTTATAGGTATATGCAGACATCAGTATAAGATTTTACAACATGAAGTTGAAAAAGCTCGTGATTTAGGTAAGTGTTTGTTTCGAATTATGTGTGCATGGATTGGAGGCGAAAGGAGAAGGCGGTATGAGAGACTATATGTGTTTACTTACCATTCATGTAACACTTATAAGACCATTGGTATTTGTGTCATTTCTCAAAATAGTATGGAAATGTTCAAAACATGTTTGACGAAATATAATTGTCTTCATGGACTGATATCAACTAGGAAGCCATTAAAAACTGAAAGGGACTGAATAACTTTCAATTTAATTAGATACTGTTCAACAATTCGCTTTCAAAACCTGGTTTTGACTTATATATATATAGTCCTGTGTTCACATTCCTCAGAGTTCAGATTTAGACTAACAACCGTTCAGTGCTGCATAGTTTACAGTATTTCCCAAGCTAATATAAGTCTGTGGTAACAATTACGAAAAATCACCATGAAATTAACTAAGTAAATATTACATTTACTTACTGATGACTAACTTTGTAGTATAGTTCTCCCAGTTCTATTAAAAATTTGTAACTTGTGTATAGTCAGTGAAGTTGAAGAACGGAAGCACAGTGAGACTTAATTGATGACGTTCAATATAGATAGTGTTATATCACAAATTGAACATATTTAAACGTGTATATCATTGGATTTTAACATAGATATAGTTTAACAGCATCTTTCGTTTTATCCTTTGTATGAAAGAAGATTTTGTCGATTGTTAGATGAAATAAATATACATTATCAATTGATAATCTTACATAATAAAGATAATCTTCCTTCCTTTAAAAAAAATTTAACTAGTGAGCTGTTTGTTTGTATTTAATCTTTTCAGGTTTAATTCAAACATGGTTGCCTTTCTACCTATATAATTACCATGATTATTATGATTATTTACCAAAGGATCAATTAAATGAATTACTTAAAATCAATAACAGCCAACTTACACATCAAGATGCTGTTATATCGTCAAATGATATTGCCTCCTTACCGTTGGATATACAAGAAATATTAAAAGCGAATCAATCTATACCACATACAGAGGAATTCACCATTCAATTACCAGAGATTAATATTGATCGACCAAAGGTCACCAAGCGTTATCAAATGGAAGAAGATTATAAAGCGCTGTTGATTCGTCGAAAACGATCACGTTCATTTATTTTAAATTGAAACAAAAAAATCAATAATGATGATAACATATTTCAAACTCAGAGAATAACTGTAAAGCTTGAAATATGTGTATATAGAATAAATGAATTAATAAAAATGAAAGATAGTACTTTTGTATCTATGTTGGTGTGTACTCGCTTATGCTTGTAATGTACTTGATCGATTGGTTTTCTCATGATAGGAATTAATTTATATTCACAGTTAAAATCACGAGTCAATCTAAGCTACTTCACTATTGAAAATCTGGAAGTACCGGACGTCCGTTCAGTCTTAGTATGATACTTCATAGCAGTGTGCATCTATGATCCTGCACAAAAAGGACTCGAACATAGGACTTTCAGTTTCCCATGTGGACACTTAACCTCTGGACCAGTGATCCAGTAACCAGCGCTCTCGATGTCCAACTTCAATTGATCCACGACCTCGCAATCTTTTTATCCATCGTTTTCGGTGGATATCTGTCTCACTCTACACGGACTGGACTCCACTGGTCATGGCTTCTCACTAGAATTCCAGGAACTACATCCTGAAGCTAATCACCAGTAAGCACGTGATCGTTATCAGTATCGGTGATTTGTGAGGACCGTAGTATTTTTTGCTGAGCAATATGATAGTTAAAAGACATGATTAAGCTATAAGTTTTTTGATTGAGATCATGAACCGATTAATGTTAGACCACCACCTTTGGAAACCTAGAAGCACTGGACGGCCTTTTCGTCCTATTGCGGGACTCCTCAGCAGTGCGCACCCACGATCCCGCCCGTGGGATTCGAACCCAGGGCCTTCGGTCCCGCGCGCGAACGCTTAACCAACTGGACCACTGAGCCGGCATCCAATGGTGATATTATCTAACATCAACCAATCCACGAAATTGCGCGACCAACTTCCATTGTACTGAGGTAGATACCTGTCTCTACCCGACATGGATTAGCTCCACTGATCACGGCTTCTCACCAGAACTCCGAGAATTCCCTCACGAAGCTAGTCACTATTGAGCACATGTTGATTACTAGTATGGGGGTTGTGGAGATTATTACGTTTTTGATTGAGATCATGAACCGATTAATGTTAGACTACCACCTTTGGTTTTTTATCATAGATGTCTTCGAAGTATTTCTCTAATTTCATGCAGCAACTGAGCCAACAATTTTGGTGTCAGGCATAGAAAAGGACAAACGGGTTGATGATGCCATGAATTTTTATTGACTGAGTCGGTAAAGGCGTGTAATGTGCATGCTTAACCACTGCCTATCTCAATGCATTATTATTTCTGGTGTAGAAGTAGTTTAGGAGAAGGCTGGTGGGACCAACCTGAAACAGTACTTCAGCTCACAGAATTACTATCTGTTGGTTTGAGCCATGTTGGCAGATACAGACTATCTGAGTCCGTGCGTTTGTCACGCTCAGTGGCTATAGACTTCGGATGACATGGCTGTAGATCGTTCACAATAGCACAGATGCATTCAATCATCCTCTCGATCTTGAATTACCGTATTTCTTTCATATAAACCTTTTTTCTGTCTTTTCGAACCACATACTTCATCTTTAATCTACTTCGTCGTCATTGCTATTATATTATTTGAGTCTCTTTCGCTATGCATCGTGCTAATGTGGTGTGAGAACTATGATCAGGCTCTACGTTTATGATGTCCGATTGATTAACAGCTCTTTTAATCTTTGTCGATCTACTTTTGTTAACTAGTTTACTTTATCTCCATGGCAAATCAAACTTCTATTGTTAGCATTTTTTACTTAGTGGTTCTACTACCTTTATTACCGTTTTCAGTAGTAATTGTTCACTGGCCATGTAACAGAATACAACTTACCGTTGCCCAATAAACCATCTCTTATACTTTACCAGATACCCCTTAATATCATAAAGTAAGACAGATTGACGATTACCATTTAAGCTTCGTTTCAAGTTTTTTTCTATCAGCCCACCAAATCTGCCAAAGTGATGGTTCTTAAGGGATATATTGTCTAATTACTCTAAGGTATTTAGAGCAATAAGGTACGAAAATGAAGTATTTTTATCAGTATATCATTGATCATGTCTACAAGTGTAGTTATTTTAACAAACTACTAATTGTATGACCTAAAGTACAACTTTCTACATACTTTCAAAGGCCTCAATAAATTTGTGTATCAGTACTTATAATAACCTTGGGTCGTTTAAGGATCATCGATACCACTATTGCATCCAGTTTGTGGCTGGGTGAATCGATGGAAAAAAAACCACAGCCAAAGTTTAGTTAAACTGCTTCTCAACATATCCTACTCATTATTTTATCCTGTTTATCTAAATATTAGTTGGATTTTGCAGACTTTTGATTGATTTACATCGTTTTTTCTTTCTATTTTACCTTGTTAAATATTATCTTAGTTACGTGTATTACATAACAGTCTTCTTTCCAAAGAAGGAAATTTATATCAACGGGCAAGAAATTTATGGTAAGAATATGAATGGGATATTTTTTGATTTGGTTTTTTAATGCTATCCATCACAATCTGTCATATATTCTTCATCTAATATGGAGCCTTAAAGGAGTGGTTTATAAAATTCTCCAATTTCATTAAAATCAGTTTTCAGTATTAAATTTATCGAATCATCAAGTTATATTTATTCCCTTGTTTTGTGTGCATGAATTCTTTTCGAATTTTTGGGAGGGGGTCTACATGAAGTAGTCACTCTAGGGAATATTTATACAAAGGATTTGACGTGTCCACTATCGCTGGGTTCTAAAATGGTAAAGTTAACCAATCACTGATTTTTGTGATTATTCAAACGATTAAAGATCATAATTCATTATGTCATCGCTTTAACTAGACATATGCACAAAATACCACACATCTCTTCAAAAAGGACCCAGTCAACTTACGTAAATAATCGGATGACATAAGGGAAACTTTGTAATAATAGCGTTCGCCTGTTACCCCAGAAAAACGACTAGTTTGAATGTCTACAATGTATAGTCTTAATTATGTATCAATACATAGGTGGATTAAATGACAGTATAATCGCTATCTTGGTACTTTTATTGCGTCATTTTTATAGTCCACGTAACTAGGTCATTATCTGTCTTATACACTGAATTCTTCATTAGACCAATAGATCGACTATCGAGTAGTAGTGTTAATTTGTATTTCACTTTCACAGTTTATAACTTTGTCATAGCTTGGTGATAAACTTTACAAATATTAATTGCATATATCTTGCAAAAATTGAGTCATTACTGATAATAAACAATACAGTCTGGGCATCAAAATATAGTATCAAGAAGTTGTTCATATCATATAAAAGTTGTTGAACTTACGAAACTGTGACCTGATGATAAAAAAACGCCATCAATCGGTAAGTTATAAGTTTGATCCTAGTTCTAACTACCACTTTTCGAGCGGCTAATTAGTACCACTAACCTTCACACAAACACCCAATTTATGCCATAGTACCAAGGTATAAAAGAAAGTTGTTTAATACTGGTTTCTTTCGGCTCATCACGAATCTATGGTTTAGGTCCGAGTGGTAATGCAACCTAATGGCTTATCAGACTTGGTTCAGAACAGAAGCCAATGGTGATGCTACCGTAATTTTATTTTCCTTTACTCATATAGGTGAAAGAAACCTGTTACATTAAAAGAACCATTTTATGTTGCATTTTTCTTAACTGGACTGTTTCTCCCATTATTTTTTACTCACATTAACTCATTTCCATCCATTATACTCACTTTACATCTTCTATCTCTTCACCATCTCATTTTCTTATTGTGTGGTGCACATTTATTTTGGTATCCCTTTGTACCTATATTGATGTGTTTAAAAGAATAGATAAATAGATAACTCTAATACACAAATTCAAACTTCATATAAGAATACCATAACACTCATACCTGACATGTGTCGATCAACATAGAAGAACGAGTATATATCATCTTTGAGGATTGCATTCTGTCACAAATTGGTTGAAGTTGGAAATGTAAACTATTGAATTCAGACTTACTGCTAACAGTAAGATCGAAAGGTCTTATGTTCACCCCATAATCTATCGGGTAGTAGATATATACTACTCAAAATGGCCTTAACTACAACTAAACGTCTCTTCAATGCTTCCTAGTTTTTACTAGTTGCTCAACTGTAATCATTTCATGATCACTTTAAGTACCTCCCCATTTGTGTCTTATTCCAACAATAGTTTCACGAAGAATATTGACCTTAATTCAAATGTTATTGCAGATTCCTCAAGTTAAAAATCAGTCAAAATTTTAGGCGTATCAACATTTTAATTTTTCTATTCTAAACTACACAATAATTCATTTATCCTGCATTATTGTTTCTTTTAATGTGCTTTGTTTATCCTATCTATCTATGTGTTGTTATGCATCAGGACATCAATTAATGAAGGTCATGGACCACTGTATTTTATAGCTCCGCAAACACGTCTACGTGTAGTTGACAATAGTCCATGGAGTAGTATTGCTCCCACAACCCATATAAACACTGGTAAAGATCAACCAGTCAAGAAAGTTCCTAACATTGATCAAAAACTATCAAAACCAGTTAAAGATATGAATGATGTGTCCAATTTACTTTCATTAGGTTCAAAAGTACTATCAATTAAACCGGCAAAATGTATTCGTGTTTATAATAAACGAAATAAAGGAACTATAGGTAATGTACATTGAAGTTATTTAATTTAATTTTTTTTAAAGAAAGTCTTCACTAATATATAAATATATATTACTTTCTCGAAGTGTATCTTTGATGCCCAGTCTTTTCTGTTACCAATAATACTGTTACTACCTCTACTACTTTGATCATTTACCCTGGATAATATCATCTCGCCGTGGTAATGGGATATGTCAACTTGAAATGATGTGCACACATACTACGTTCTTCTATGCTATGTTTGATTGACTGACTGATTGAAATTACTTAATTTCGATCCGCTTTTAGTGGTAATTTGAGTTTACAAAAAATTCTATTGTAACGTTTCAATTTTTGCTCAGTGTTAACTAAGCATCATTATATGCAAAATTCAGTATCACCCCTAATTTCATTAATTTGTATTGATTCGAATATTCTCGTTGATGTTTAGGACTACAAGTGATCAGTCTCCTTTGGCATTTGTTCATCCTGTGTGAATCGCCTTAAGTCACAATCATTATAGGCATAGATAAATGGCGGATAGCATTGGAACCCACGACGCGCGTTTCGTCTGATTTGAGGTTTGTTCGCTTCAGACACCTTCGCGTTACCCACTTAGCTGCTGAGTCCAGAGTGTACACCAACTTTGAGATCTAGGTGCATCTAACTGATGAGTCCCAAATAGAACGAAACACGCGTCTTCGATTCCACTGCTAGCAGTCTGATATGATGGGAAGAAAAATCAATTTTCGATTGATTTACTTATTATGAGTTTTGTTCAAGATTACTTCCATTCTAATTCAATGTGATAATCATTCACTGTAGTAATTATTTTCTTTTGTCGTATGATATTTTATTCTGTATAATATACGATATTTTTGTATTCGATTGATATGAACTATACTCAGTCTGTGATTTGTTATTTTTCATATAAGTGATTTAATCCTAATTATTAATCAACAATGGGTGTAAAATCAATATATAAATGAGTGTATTTTAGACTATTTTGATTATCATCGTCGTCGTGTTTTGGGGCTAATAAATCTTCACTTATACCAGCCTTGTGTTCTTACTTTCGCATCATAGGAATTGCTGAGGTCCCTCGTCCATAGTATAAGTGATCAGCGCATTTTCCGGCACATCAATTGCGACGATGCAATATAACAATTGGCGACGGGGATGGGATCAATTGTTATATTGCGTCGTCGCAATTGTTGTGCCGGAAAATGCGCTGATCACTTATACTATGGACGAGGGACCTCAGCAGTTCCCATGATGCGAAAGTAAGAACACAAGACTGGTATAAGTGAAGATTTATTAGCCCCAAAACACTGACGACGATGAATCGAATCTCGTCTAAAATACGCTGGTTTACATATTGATTGTACACCCATTTAAATTAATAATTAGGATTACATCACATACTCAGTTATAACAAATCACAGACTGAGCATAATTCATATCAAGTGAATGCAAGAAGATCGTATATTATACAGAAGAAAATATCATTCTGAGAAAAGAAAATAATTACTACAGTGAATGATTATCACATTGAATTAGAAGGGAAGTAATCTTGAACAAAGCTCATAATAAGTAAATCAATCGAAAATTGATTTTTCTTCCCATCATATCACAATCATCCATTTCTGCTTATAACATCAGCTTGGGAAATTGCTGAATTTCTGCATAATGATTATTATCTCAGAAATTATTTGATGATGCAAAATGGCTTTTATTTTACAATTAATGTTATATATCAATACTTTGTTTACTATTATAAGAATAAGGAAATTTTTCATTCGTTACCGCATAATTTCAATATTTTTTCGTTTGCACACACATTGATACACTAATTTTTTTAACCAACAAAGTTGAAGGTAAAAAGCGCAGTAATTGTTTATTTATAATTTGATAATCGATAATCGGAAATTTTGTCATCTTGGAAACAAAATTATTTTCATATTATGCAAACACCTGATCACTGTAATCGACTTCATCATTATGTCTTTGCTAATGGAATGTCATCTTTTAAATGATGAAGTAAGACTTGTAACTCGAATTTCCATTGATACTTTTAGTTGTCTGACTGTTGAATGATTTAAATTGTAAAATTTTCATCGTTCTCACTAATGCCAATATTTCATATAGAACTGAAGCTTTCAAAAATCGTTCCACAAGCATCTAAATCATATTCATCTTATTAAATTTGGTTATCATTTGAGATAAACCATTAGATGATCAATCATTCAATTCATCTTTTGTCTGGGCTGACATCTACATTCTTTATGCTTCACAGTTATATATATAATTCACACAATGACTATATATATATATACGGTGTTCAATTCTATTCCCTTAAATTTTCTAAAACTACATTTTTCAGGTGATAAAGTATTGGTTGCTGTTAATGGAGAAATGAAGAAAGGTTGGATTGTTGGTGCACGACTACCATCTGTTAATGGTTGGCCACGTTTTGACTCAAACAATGTTGTGCTTATTGATAATGATGGCAATCCACTAGGTACACGAATACTTGTCCCAGTACCAGCGCGATTACGAAGTTTATCAGGGGATATAACGAAAATTCTATCGATAGCTAGTTCATTTGTATGAGAAAAATAATAAATGAAATAGAAAACAATAGTTTTTTCTAATTATTATTTTCTCTCCTTGTTTATCATTGTTTTAATAGAAGGACGTTGAAGCGTAATTGTGTTTCTTCTTCTTAGGTATAGTGATCTATCATATAAGCGATTTTGTTGCAGTTAAAAGTAATTCGCAACTTTAGGATATAGTCTCATAGATTTGCTTATTGTAATGACTACTCAGTCAAGTTATATTGTCTAAAAACACTCGTGTGACCCATTGTTTCACTAAGAAAGAAAGTTGTTTATGGAATATTATGACTAAAAGCAGTACTAATTCTAATTAGGAATCTAAATTTTAACTATAGACTTTATATGTTTGACATATACGTGAAATTCACGCAAATAGCGGTCATTGATACTGACAGTTATTCATTGAGGAAATTCATAGGATTCATCTCATGCTATCCCTGCATCTATGTTACTAACAGATTACTGTACAATATATTAGGAACGAGCGAGCAGTTGGGAAATGTGGAGTTTAGAATGCTATTACGTAACCAGATTCATCATTAGTGAATATAGGAAAAACGAACCGTAACACGAAATTATCATACTTCAGAAATATCATGATAAGTGTTTAAGCAGAAGATCCGGTAATGAAATGAACAGTAAACGTATCCATATGTTCTTCGTACTGTTGAATACAGAAATATTTGTTAGGGATGTCGCTTTTAATCAATCTTGTGTAAACTTCTCAACTACAAGTTATTAACGTCTCACAGCAATCATTCCTATAAGCTGCTACCATGTGGTTTTAGTTGATGACACAAATTATCTACGATCAGCAATCAATACAGTGTGAACTACTACAACCATAATCAAAAAGGTACACGTGTTTTCCAACAATTGTCAACGCAAAATACTGAATGTCTGTTGGCCGGATACAATCAGCAACAGCCTACTGTGCGAGAGACAAACCGGCTTCGATATGAAGTGGAAATTAGGAAAAAACGTTGGGATTGGATAGGAAACACATTACGGAAATCACGAGGCAAGCTCTAGCAACTGGGAAGAACTGCCTAGGACAGAGTTGGATATATAATGCTGGTGGTTGGCCTACGTTCCTTCACGAGGGATATCAGGCATAAATGTATGTTCAGTTGTTTAGCTGAGTAAATTCTTTGTAACTGAGTAACCATTCTCTGACTACATCGCAGATTTTTTTATTGGGATCACTTGAAAGCAAATTATTTTGGTGTCCACACCTAATGGATAAACGTAGACACGTCAAGACAGTAGATTCCCAACTCCACGTTGTCATCATATATAAAGGTCAATGAACATTTTTTATAAACATTTTAACTACTCACAAGTAGGTAGGGAAATTAATAATATTTTAGCATTTTTCATATAGTGAACAAATTATAATTTTTACATCATCTAAGAAAACTACAAATTACTATGAGTGTGAATAAGGCTTTATTTCCTAAAACATAGTAAACGTCTTCATTACTTGATAGTCACATTTTGATTATCTTGTATCTTCATCCAACCGGTAATTGTTTTTGGATTTGTGAAATTGCACAATATGTAAGTTGTAGATTTTGATTTTTCCAATAAATATTGGTTGTGGTCATTAATATGCATAAATTTATCATCTCAAATATAAAATGGACACTTTATCTGACGGGCTAAAATAATTCGTATAATCTGTGTTGAAGAAAAAGAGTTGAACATTAAACTGTCGTAATGGATTTGCTTCCTCATGAAGTTTAGACCGAGTTCAAATATTGTATTTAAGAGATAGGTAACTCTTTAGATAGGAAATTTGCACACGCTATTATCGTAGTAAGTCCAACTACAAAGTATGAAAAATATATTCCCTTATATGTATAACCACCGTGTATTATAATTCTCAAAAAATCACTAGCTTTACTGAATTATATTTTATAGTTTATCAGTTGGTTTCATCAAATGATCCAATCACTTGTATCCGATCTTAAAATCTAACTTTTTCGTAATATTAAAATTAAAATGTTTGTTTCGTGAAATGCTTAAACAATAGTTTTCTTTTTTAGTGGTCTCATTTCTACATGAACTTATAAACCATGAAAAATAATAGTAGGTGACTGAATGTGAACAGTAGAACATCCTGGACATAGGTTTCGTGCTATTCAGCGCTCGTTAGCAGGGGCCATTTGTAATCCTAATGGAACTAGTGCGGCCTAATGGATTCAGAGTTGTTTTACCAGCTTCATAGTCTGAAAATTTACCATTGAGATATTCGGACTGACTGGGATATTTACAATTGATTGGTCACTGAATAACGACTAATGTTTTGTTTGGCTAGTCTCTTAGTACTGATCTAGCTCCAGCGATTCATCTGACTAGACAAAGAAGATTGATCATTTGTCAATGACCAATCAGTTATGAAGAATAGTTCTTACCGTTGAATAACATCATTTGCAAAATCTTTGATTTCGGTGGCTTGGACAAGTCCTACGAATGTCGTCCCAGAGAATTCCACGTCGTGCATTATTTGCCCAATCTGGGACTGGTTGTAAAAAGCGAAGATGTGGTCAGTATATGACATGGTGTCATAGTATGAAAGAAAGCTTCAAAGGGCTGGCTTCTGTTGGTCCTTCACGACTCCGTGGCTGAGGTCCGAGAGATGGTGCAACACAGTGGCTAGAGACGTTATCAGATATGGCTCAGAATAGAAGCCAGTGGCGATCCTGCTGTAACCTTCTTTTACTTTCTTCATAAAAAAGTGATTGTATCTTCCTTAACTGAAAGATTTCTTCTGATTGTACCTTTCCGTTCCCCCATTTTTACCATTATTATTATTACATCACCTTACATCGATCTCTTCGCTATTATTCTCTCTTTTTTTTTCCTTCCCCTTAAATTCTCATTGTTTTATGTGGCGCATTCTTGTACCATTATTTATGTGTTCAAATAAATAAATTTAATAAACATTAAAAATGATAAATTTCTGATAAATTCTTGAAATTCACAATAATTTTATATCAAGTAGTTTGCTAAAATGACAATCATATGCATTATTGTGGACCCGTAAAAGAACTTCATCACATTATGATAATATGCTAAGGAATGAGTACTATATAAAACCAAATAATAATACGGTAAACTGAAATGCAGTATGCGACTAGGTAGAACGGTAAAAGTAACGCTGAAAACCAAGTTATATACATAGTTCTCTTTCGTATTCATTTCAAAATTTTCTGAGGATTCAAAAATATCTAATAGTCATAGTTTATATTCTTCACCTTATTCATAACTCTGTCGTTTACATATACAATACTACAGTCAGTAAGTCAGTTTTCATATACACAATTCTATTGATTCTTCTTTGAAAGTCATAATATCTGTCGTCTCTCAGTGATGAATTATTCTCATTGTATTCGTTCCCAATTGTACAGAGCTTCTGTTGAATCTTCTTCAATAGACACATAAATAAGTAAATTTTTAACGTCTTTGATATGTTGTTAAACATTTTCTTTCCAGGGACTTTTATATTGAAACAGTGTTAGTTTCGTTCTATTCAAAAAGTATCTGTCTATGTACCATTAGTTTATAGGCTCAAATTTATTGTTCAGCTAATTTTTAAAAAAAAAACGTTTTAGCACAACTGACCTAGATTTAGGACAAGCTCATTTCATTGCATCCAACTAATCTAGTAATATATTGTCCAAGTAAGTGTATCATTAATGTACAAATATATCTTAGAGAAATTCACCATGGTTTCACTTATGAACTAATTTTAGGACATAAATCATGAAATTTCTGACGAGAATATTTAACATTCATTCTAAGCGGAACAAAATCCAATCATAAAATGAGTTTTACACATTCAAATATACACTAAATAGCCGTTTTTTTGTTGTTGTTGTTTCTACACTAAACATTTTCAGATCGGTTAACATATACACAATTTAATATCTTGAAGTTCATTTACAAAAATAATTGTTACTGATGTCTATTTATTTATTAATGTTTGTTTTTTTCTCTTCTTTATTTCTTATGCTTCATTCTTTTCAACTTTTCTTTATCTTAAATTCAAAAGCTTTTTTGTTTTGTTTTTTTCTAGATAAAAAAAAATTCTACGCTAGTTTTTTTCTACCTTTAGTCGTACTGTGAATAAATCACTCATGTTTTTGGAAAAAAAAGTATCCTCCAAATTAGTTTAAAATGTTCTTACGGGAAAACAACATCATTATTCATCCGTGTGAAGGAAGCTCAATGAAATATGGCGTGTGTTGATTAGCTGATAAAAACATATACACATGATAATGCATTATATCTGTAATTATGTATAATGTCTATATGTCTATTGTCTGTATTATTAAAAAAAATGATTCTTGTCTGTATGCCGAACATACATACACACACGAGTAACTACATACATTCAAGTACAAGAAAGAAAGACAGGACGCAATAATACCAAGTTCCGAACGTTGTGAGACATGTACATTTCTACATATATATATATATATATATATATATATATATATACAAGGATACATAAATCAAATGTCCTCGAATTGGGTCACATTCAATGCATGCTTTTGTGAATAGATTTTTTTTTATAAAACAACCTAGTAATTTGACATTTATAAATCGGACTATATAATGGTTAAATCCTAAGGTTTTTTTGTAGAAAAAAAATTCTCATCGTTCCTTACAGTTTTTCACAAAATGATTTTTACACTGTTTGTTAAGCACAAAAACGCAAAATAGATAAATAGGTTTAAAGTCATTTTCCAAGTAAATAATTTACCAGTATAATTTACAAACAAATTTATAGCATAATTTCATTTTATATATTATATTATTGTAAATAAAAGTCTTCTAAAATGCTTTTGAAATTTCTTTGAGTACCGACGTGAAGAGATATCAAGTGGATAGTCCTAAACTGTTAGTCATGCTTTAAGATTTCTAATGATGACATTATTAACAATAAAAGTTGTAATTGTTATCATTATATATATAATAATTCTATTC